TGAATAAAAAACAAAAACAAAAGACATTCTAATCTTACTGGTCAGTGATCGACTAATGAGCTTCAGTTGACGGTCAGGAAAATATCCTAAATGAACAAAATGCTGTCATTCTACAATTCTCCACCAGATTTATATGCTGTGTGCAAGTTCAGGTTAAAAACACTTGCGTACACGAGCTGAGACCAGACGTGAGAATGGACTCACGTCCATTTTGATCAATTCCAAGTTTTCCAATTCCAACGATCGTACGCCCACATTCTGTCGTATGTTCGTTTTCGTAAATGAGGCCCATTCGCTCTATTGAGAAAAAGGCCCAGCAGAGGCTGTACTTCCTTCACCAGTTGAGGAAATTCAGCCTGCCACAGGAGCTGCTGAAACAGTTCTAGTCAGCCATCGAGTCTGTCCTGTGTTCATCTATAACTGTTTGGTTTGGCTCAGTTGCCAAATTACACATCAGGAGACTACAATGGACAGTCAGGACTGCTGAGAATATTATTGGTGCTCCCCTGCCCAACCTTCAAGAACTTTACACCTCCAGAATGAGTAAAAGGGCTTAAAAAATCACCCTGGACCCCTCACATCCGGCATACTCCCTCTTTGAACTGTTGCCATCTGGCTGGCGCTACAGAGCACTGTGCACCAAAACAGCCAGACACAAGAATAGTTTTTCCCCCCAGGCTATATCCCACCTGAACAACACATAACACATCTCAGGACTATACATCTGTAAATAACTTGACATTTTCTTTTCCTCTATATTTTTATTAATACATTGTTATTTATAATTTAGTGTCTATTCTCTTTATTATTAGTGTTTTATTATTTATGTCTGCATTATGTCACTTTCTGTATAGGAAGCTCCTGACACAAAGACGAATTCCTTGTGTGCGTAAACACACTTGGCAATAAAGCTATTCTGATTCTCAAACATGCTTTTTAGTCTGGGACTAGCCTTAAGCCTTGCCTGTGAAACAGGGCAAAATTTACTGCTGTCACATTAAGGGTGTGTTCACACTAGCCATGTTTGGTTTGATTAAATCGAACCTTGGTGTGATTGCTCTGTTAGTGCAGTTCTTTCAAATAGTTGTGAATGCTGCCATTTGAACCCTGGTGTGCTCATATTTCGAATTAAATATGAACGCAACACGGACCAAAGACATCGAAGATGTCACAAGACATCACAAGATGTGACCCTAAAAAGGTTTTTTGCACGATGTTCTCCATTACAGTTGGGTACAGGTGTCTGAACCGCGTCTCTTTGCAGCAGATCTTTCTTTGTTTGCTGTGACATTTACATTTACATTTACATTTAGTCATTTTGCAGATGCTTTTATCCAAAGCGACTTACAATTTGGGGATGACAGTGGAATTCCTGGCCCTGTTATGAGTTCTTTACACATTTTATAGGCTCGTCACGAGTTCTCAGCTGGTAAAAGTATCATCATATGTACGTGTAACAAGGTTTATTGTTCAGGGAAGAAAGAGGTGGGAACCAGCTAATGCGACACAACCTACGTTGTCTTTGCGAGTGACATATGTGTCTGCACTTCAGTGAAGACTGATCTTCTGTCTTGCAACATCTCCTTATGACTAATAAATCAAAACTCAAATCACACTCTGTTGTTCTACCAACTTAATTGATAGTAGTGCATGTGTAGTCAGTTCTACAGAGACTGTTTCTGTTTCCTGAATAAGGAGGTCAAATAATAAATATATTTTGATTTAGAAAAAATCTGATCGTGATTAAACCAGAAAATTTCTAAACATCCTAAACATTAGATCGCTCACACATAAGGTGATTATTGTACATGAAATTATCACAGATAATAATTTTGATGTACCCTGCTTTAAGCCCGAGACACACTGCACGATTTTAACAATCCTATAAGATCATAGCATATCATACTGTGCGACATGGATCTAATAAACTTGAGTACGACATGTGCGATGATGACACCTATTGACTCGTAGGCTACGACGCATGTTACTACACTCTAAAAAAATGCTGGGTTAAAAAGGGACAAACCCAGCTATTGGGTTGTTTTGAACCCAACCGCTGGGCCAGCACTTTTTAGAGTGTATAGAAAAATAAAACGTCATCAGCATATGCTAGTGGTAAACAAAAAGAGCATGATGAATCACACTTTGGCAGTTTTAGTTTTTATGTTTGCAGAAAAAAAGTGGAAGCGGCGAAAGAGGAAGGGCTTCCCAGATAGCAAGCACATTCGGGCCGATTCAAGCTGAAATGCTCCACTGTTGGTTTAATGTCGGCATCGGTGAAAGGATATTTGGCCAGAGCCGGCCCGATTATACGCAACACTCCTGGCTGACATATGGCTTGCCTATTCTGGTGCGATCATGGGCCCCACTTACCGCTTGGCCCTATGCACTCTGTCACCCTTTTCCCCCCACTAGCGACACTCCTGTTATACTAAGGGTTATATTAAGAAACCAGTTGTTATTGTTCTATTCTGTGGTAAATCAAAGCCAACATCACTAACTATTAAATCACATACCTGTTATTCTGGTTGTGACAAGTGCATCCAATCTGGTGTGTACATTAACCATAGAATGAACTTTCTTGAGGTCAACAGCCCATGAAGGACTGATGAGTCCTTCCACAGCATGTCGGATGAAGAACATCATATTGAAGTTTCACGTTTAAAAGATGCAGGAATTGGCATGCTATTATGTTTTTCACATGATTACATGCACCTTGTATGTCTTGGTGTCATGAGAAAACTGTTGGACATATGGTTTGCTTCTGGGCCTTTATGCTGTCGTTTGTCTGCACTCCAAAGTGGTATAATCTCAGATGCTCTCATTAGCTTGAGACATTATATTCCTGTGTAGTTCGCTAGGAAACCTAGGCAACTCTCAGAGAGACTGAGGTGGAAAGCAACAGAATTGTGACAATTTCTGTTATACACCGTGATGAATGATGGACACACAACATTAACACTTTACTGAGGAACTGTATAGTTATCACTTGATTGCAGACCGACCTGCAGACTCTCATATACATCCGGAGCTTATATCGACGTCCCGACTAAGGATACGTGTCAGGTACAAATGCGATTAACATATAACTAAGAACATTTAATCAATGATCTACACACCAGTCCAGTGGTTCTTCATAACATGCTTTCAGAACCAGTGTACAGCAATTTTATGTTGTTATCTGTGGCTAGTTTTATTCTCTCCAGTCCAACTCTGTATAGGTCTTAATGACTTTGCTCACACAGGGCTTGAATTTCGGTGCGGGATTGCGCATAATTCTACTGATTCCCGCGCTTGTAACGCGGGAAATTCCCGCAAATATTTAAAGGTGAAAGACGCTCGTGACAGATGACGGAATGTATCATTTGCACGTGCTTTTGAGTCTTACGATTTTAAACATTCAAGTGCTCAATTCAGTACTTGCGCGCTCTGTGACTGAGACCCTTTCTGTGAGCCGCCTCACACACAAAGCGCGCGCACATAGAGACGCATCTGAGAGCGCGCGCCTTTGCGCGTAAACGGCCAAATACATACAAAAATGTCATAAAGTGCCCATCTTGATGAGTATTCATGTAAACAGTCGATTTATACTAAACATTGTCGGTATACAGGCTATTAAGTTAATGTAAACAGTTGAGAAACAAAACTTATGTGTAACAGTTTAATCCGTGCATGAGGTCTTAAAGAGACAGTAACCTAAATAAACCTGCTGCTGTCTGTCATTAATGTTTATTTATACATTGAAGACTAACCAGTGTTAAAGCTCAGATAAATAGATTATTCTGTTTCTGTGGAATTTCTGTACCTGAATATTACTGTTAAACCTACCTGAAAAACTTCAAGCACAGTTAATTTTAGTTGTATCTTGTTATTGTATTTGTTTGTGCCATTGCTTGTCATTAATCTATTCTTATTTTATTACTGACTGTTTACTTGTGTTTTTTAGTTAAATAAATTTAATTCAGAGTTTGAAAGGTTTTTTTTTTTAAGTAGGCCTATCTTCCTCACAATATAAATATGAATCAACAACATTATAAATTGTAAAATGCAAATACACTGGGTGACGAAACATTTAGGTTTGATGATTGTAGTTTAAAAATATGTCTAAAAAAGTACCCTAACTATGGAAGACTTGACTTAATATCTGGGTTTCCATTCGCAAACTTCTTGGGACAAATAAAGAAAATGATAAGAACTCCACACTGTCTTCTACACTGACTCTCAGAAATGGACAGTTCTGTGGCAAATGCTAATATGAATCTTCTTGAAAAAACAACATGAAAATGGCCCAATCCCACCAGGTTTTAATGAAGTTTGTCAGTTCCGGGAGGTTGTTATAGGTACCACTAGAGTTAATCTCTCAAGTATGGGAGATAACGGTGTCAAAATTGGAGGCTGCATTGGTTTAGTAATGAATATTCTTCAGTGTCAGGAGAAAGTTTATATGATCTACAGAGAATATGAATGCATGGAGCCTTTCTTTCACTATCCCATAAACTCCATTCAGATAGGGGTCTTTTTAATAGATAACCTCTCACCTAGCTTGAAATACATCGAGCTGAATGGAAATGTAACGACGTATGTGAGGTTACCATATCAAGGCCAATTTGTTGCAGTGCCTTTACTGCACATGGAGTGATGTAACTGAGAATAATACAGCACTGCAGCATAAAGATCATTCTTTTCATTTTTTTTATTAATTATTCAAATTTAGATATGTACAAAGTGGAGTTTTTAAAAACCAAAGAAGTGGAGTTGGTACCGAGTGTTGGTATACAGAATGGAGTATGCTGTTGGCCACATCTTAAGGTAATCTCATTACACTCAGCAATCAACCAGCAGGTGACTCCAAGTCAGGACTGGGTGTCCTGGGAAATTAGAGAGCTGTTCACCACTGGTGTGATGGATATCTCTTATTCATGTTGTCGTAGGAATGTTTATAGCAATTTAAGATTTAATTTGTTTTTGTTTTTAAACTAACAGACAACTATGAGGAAGGAAGGAGGCAGGTTCGAGAGGTTGAGGTTCGATCTGACATTCAGTCAGATACAGAGGAACCAGGCCGAAAAAAAGTCAGACGTAAAAAGTAGGTGTAATGTTTTTGGTAACATTTGTTTTGTGTTGTTGTATAGTAAAGTTTAACATTTTTGAAAAAATCTTTTAAAGGCCACGCACTCGACTTTTGAGCTCTTTTTTGATGGACTCTGAGGAAGATGATGCTTTACAGCAGGATAGCACAGGTCTTCCTGCTGCTCCACCAGTCCAACAGTTTTATCGACCCACAAAGGAGGTAACCTTGAAGACTATATCTCTTGCAGAAATGCTGTCCAGCAACCACACCGTCTGGCAACCTGAGGATTTCGCATATGAATGTGAGTGTATACAGTACAGGTTTCTATATGATATATACACACACACACACACACATATATATATATATATATATAGTGTGTGTGTGTATATTGTGTGTGTGTAAATACTGTATGTATATATGTATATATATTGTGTGTGTGTGTGTGTGTGTGTGTATATATTTTTATTTTTTTAATTATTTATTTTTCTGTTTTTTTGTTTTGTTTTGTTCAGATCTCTGGTATACGGAAGAGGATTAGAGCCAAGCAATAATAATAAAAAATAAAAAAAAAACATGTCGAGATTAAAGACATGAAAAAAGTTATGTTTCGAGAAAAAACACGTTAAATTTCGAGAAAAAAAGTCGAGATAAAATGTTGAGATTAAATTCGTTAAATTTCGAGAATAAAGTCATGTTTAGAGAAAAAAAACATTAAATTTCGAGAAAAAAAGTCAAAATAAAATGTTGAGAATAATTAAATTTCAAGAAAAAAGTTGATAATAAACACACTCGTGTCATGCTCATTTCATCTCGTTGCACAGTGTTATTCAGCGTCTGCAGTGGGGTGGGTTGGAGAGTAATGAACTGGGGAGTAGCGTATGATACGATCAACTGGGTTTCAGCGTGTCTATTGAAATGGCGTCTATTGTACAGTCGTGGTCAGAATTATTGGCACCCTTGGTAAATATGATCAAAGAAGGCTGTGAAAATAAATCTGCATTGTTAATCATTTTGATCTTTTATTTAAAAAAATTCACAAATATCTAACCTTTCATTGAACTAAAACAATTGAAAATGGGGGGAAATCTCATTATGAAATAATTGTTTTTCTCAAATACACGTTGGACACAATTATTGGCACTCCTAGAAATTCTTATGAGTAAAATGTCTGTGAAGTATATTCCCATTCATATTTACAATTTTGAGCACTCCAGGGTCCCAGTCAGCAAATTTCCTTTGGCGCGGATCTGGTCCATATCAACAGCTAAAGTGTGGCCCAGATTAGTTTGTGTTCGCCGGTCCAAAACTGGTCCACATCTTTTTAGCCAGAACTGAACCTAAACAGTGCCATAACCCAACCCAGAGTGAGCCAAATAATAAAAACAGATGTGGCTGATATATGGACCTTATATGGTATTCTTATATGGCTGAGTTCTGTAAAGGGCTGACAGCCCTTATGTGGCCCACATGTGGCTGATAAACCAAATGCCATTATTTAACCATATTTACACCACACCTATTTTTTTTTTATTTAAAATACCCATTACACAGTAAATCTTAAACACAAAAATGGATTCACACTCATTTTTAAAATGCTTATTGTAGAATTTTAATAACAGAATTACAATACAGAACATAACAGAAGTGTGCTATTTTGCAAATGTCAGATGAGTGAATAAATGTACAAAAATTGATACTTTTAGTAAGTCCTGCCAGTCTTTCTCACTCACAGTCTGTCAGGAAAAAGAAGAGAAAAAAGAACATTAGTATATCATAATTAGTATCACACATTAGGTATTATTGCCTGGCCCTAATACTCTTCCATACTGGTATATGCCAGAGATCTATTTTTAAAAATCTGTAACCGTTTTTTTAATTATTATTATTATTATTTAATCTCACCAGCTCCACAAGAGCCTACAAGATCTTTGTTTCCAGAGAGTGGTGTTTCTTGGAACTGTGTTCAGCAGCCACCTGAAATCAGTGCTAGTAAGTTGGCGTAGGCTAAAATTTTATGATATATTTATGAATGAATGGTTAACTTTTAACCCCTTGCTTTAGTAGAAAAGAATAAATATAACTACAAGTTACAATACTTTATTTTCCTTAAGGTGTAAACTCAGTACAGCCTCAACAGACTCCGTTGCACAAACACCAGAGGACTCATCAGTCTGCTACTCCTGAACTTATTGTCTGTAAGTACAGTATGTTATTAGTGATGTGTCGTTCATGAACGATTCATTCAATTTGAATGAGTCTTTAATATGACTCGGGAACATCGAGTTGACTCAGCAAGGGATTTGTTCACTTTGTGTTGATCACGCATGTGCACCATCCTGTTGGTTTTTTACGGGAAACAGAAATGATTAGTTCACCTCCAGAGTCTTTGGGTCCAAGTTGTTCGTCTTCTGACAGCAGTATTGGATACAGAAGTTAGTTAATAACAATTCCCAACCTTCCTTACAAACACACCTGCAGTTTTTTTTCATAACATTAAATGTGAGTAATAAAGAGTCGGTTAACACTTTAAACTTTATCCGTGTGATGGGGAAAAATCACTTTGATAAAGCAAATATTCCTACATATAATAACAACATACAGTTAATAATATGCAATTGTGTTTTTTACTGAGCCGGGAAGCGGCATGAGACAAAAGAATGAACAACTCAAACCCAAAGTCTCGAGAGGTGAACTAATCAATTCTGTTTTCAGGACACACTGCCTTTTAAAGTTAGTCAGCTAATTTTTTTCTTTAAGACTGGTCATAACTTTTTTATTCAGTTACATAAAAATGTAGATTAGTCTAAGTTGAATCCAAAAAATAAAACTGATTACCCCTTGGCTAACTGCTAGTTGGTCAGACTAGTTCTTAAGACAATGTCTTAATATAGAGGCTAAGTTTACGCAACTGGCCCCTGGCCTTGCGTTGGGGAATTTGGCTATTTTTTATTTTTTTTTACATTTTAACTGTATTCTATAAAGAATTAAATGAACGAAATGACTTGGAAAAAAGATGTTAATTTTGATTAACGAGATTAAAAAATCAGAGTCGGGAAAATGATCTGATCTTCCCATCACTAGTATGTTTTTATTTATCAGCAGGATAAATTGAGCATAAAAAGGCTAGTTTAATATTAAAGACAATAGTAAATAAAACATAGAAAAGGTTGCTGAAAATGTAACATTTCTTGTACACGATGAGCCAAAACATTATGTCCAGTCAAAGGTAAAGCGAATATCTTTGATCATCTTCAAACAAGTCCACATGTTAAGGTCTGGGTAGATTAGATGATAAGCAAACAATCAGTTCTCATAACGTGTTGGATGCAGGAGAAATGGGCAGGAAAAAGATCTGAGTGACAAGGGCCAAATTGTTATGGCAAGGCGACTGGGTCAGAGTATCTCTGAAACAGCAGTCTGAGGAGGGACAAATCACAAACTGGTGCCAGGGTGTTGGGCACCCAAGACTCACGTGAGCGATGGGGGTCTTGTAGAGTCCATGCCTCAGCAGGTCTGCACTGTCAAGTCACCTTTATTTATACAGCGCTTTTAACAATACAGATTGTGTCAAAGCAGCTTTACAGTATTAAATAGGAAAATAGTGTCAATAATGCAAAAGGACAATAGTAAACACTCAATTTTCTGTTAAAGGCAGTTCATCATTGAATTTAGTGATGTCATCATCCAGTTCAGTTTAAATAGTATCTGTGCAATCAAGTCGATGATATCACTGGATATTAAGTGTCCCCAACTAAGCAAGCCAGAGGAACCAAAACTCCATCGGTGACAGAATGGAGAAAAAACCTTGGGAGAAACCAGGCTCAGTCGGGGGCCAGTTCTCTTTCGGCCAGACGAAACCAGCAGTTCAATTCTAGGCTGCAGCAAAGTCAGATTGTGCAGAGGACTCATCTGGTGCCTGTGGTCTTGTCCCGGTGGCCGTCTAGGAAACAATAGCAGGAGAAGAAGCCATTACTCACCGTGATTGATGAGTGAATCTGACTTACCACTGTTGTTTGATGAACTTGTGAAGAACGGAGCGAGAGAGAAAAGAAACAGAGCGAGAAAAAAAAAAGAAAGGGAGCAAGAGAAAAAAGAAAACGGTAATAGATGCAAATAGAAACGCGAATGACAAGCTAACCGGCTAACGAATGCTAAAGCGCTGCACTGCACTCGTGGTTTAAAATGAAAATGAAAATTAGTTTGATAGTTTCGGATATATGGTGGGAATAAAGTTATATTTAATCACTTTAAACAACAGAGAATGACAGTAAAAGATTCAACAGAAAAGCGAAGCTACACAGAGCTACAATCACAAACCACTCAGCAGCGCGGCATACAGCAAAAGTCACATCTGACGAGCAGTCTGGAATCACATGTTTAGGTAGCATGCAGAGGACCAACAGAATATTAAGCAGGTGGTCATAATGTTTTGGCTCATTTGTGTACATTATATTCATATAATATATCATGAGATACAAGGAACTATTTACAAGTAAAATTATTTAATTTATTAGAATACAAATAGTACATTAGATTTGTACATGTTTGCATAAAACTGTAAACTGTATTTAATAATTCTGTAAATATATTTTTATTATTTAACTGTAATAAAATTATTGTGCCAACACTAGTAAAATCTATATATTGAATAATATGTGCTAAAAAGTTCTTAGTCATTTCTTCCTGTAACAGGCCCAGACAGAAGGTACAAGAGTTTACATTGAATTAAATGACATTTTATGTATCCCCATGCTGTTGCCTTTCTAAGTTTTATAACCATTGTTCATGTTATATTATCTTAAAATTACCATTCCAGCATTAATCCGTGAAATGCTGACAAAGCAAGAAATGATTCTTGATCAGCAACAGTCCATTCTACGCATCCTCAATGCGAAGCATCCACAGGACACCGATTATGTGATTGAACGTGGACTTCTGCCAGTGAAAGACCTCCAGGCCCTTAATACCCTGGAGCAGAAGTTACAATCAGTGGATTTCAAAGAAAAACTGGTCAGTTGAGATGAAAAAGAATCTTGTGAAAAATGTTACATTAGTTTCAGTGTGTGTAGTTTATACTGTGTACTTGCTGCAATTAGTACATATCACCTGAAGAAGTTAAAATCCACTCAAAAAATCTCATTTTCATCATTTACTCACCATCATGTTGTTCCAAGCCTGCATGACTTTTATTCATCCTCAGAACACAAATTAAGATTCAGTGCTATAAAAAAAAAAAGTACTTTGACCCATCATGATTCATTGCGTTTTTTGTATATTTCGTACTAAAATGTTTAAAATCATTAACATTAAACAGTTAATGAACAGAGTAAGAATAAAAAAATTAAATGACTTAAAGGAATGAAAGTTTGCTGATCATTTACTCACCCACAGGTCATCCAAGATGTACTGTTTATGAGTTTCTTTCTTCATCAAAACAAAAAAGATATTTAAAATAACCTCTGAACTTGTAAATATAAAGTGTGCAGGTGCACAGGTTTGAGTGTCTAAACAGCAGATAACAGCTGCATCAAAATGATCAAATAAGGATTGTTTTGATGCAGCCTTCATCTGCTGTTTAGACACTCAAAGCCACGGTACCTGTGCACCTGCACTATTGTCAGCAAATTTTCATTTTTGGCTTAACTATTTCTTTAAATGGCATCATATAAAATGATTTATGTTGCTTCAGAACAATGCTGATATGTTTCAAACGTTGTTCTTTTTGGAGCGTTAAGGTGATGGTTGTTATTCAGCTTCTTTGAATGGACACAGACTGCTGAAAACATTCTTCAGTTATCTTCATTTGTATGAGTCGAACAACATGAGGCTGGGTTAATGATGATTTTGGGGTGGACTCTTTTTATCTGAGGTGTTATCAGTTGATATATCACATGGAGATAACTGACAAGATATGTTTCTCTTAGATTAATCATCTAGGCCTGATTGGAGGGTGCGATATAAAGGACACTGTGTGGCGAACAATGCACCGAACTATTTCAAATGACTTGGCCAAAAGCATCAACTGGAGAGGGGTGAATGGAAAAATATCCCTGGCGGCCCTGCAAATAAAGGATGTTGTTATTGGTAAAGATATCGTATAAATTTCAAATGTCTTAAAGAATCTGTTGTATGCATAGAGAATATCAGAAAGCCTTAACACTGTTTCTTCAGAATTAAATCATGCCATAAGTAAAGTGTTACAAGGCGTAATTTTAACAATGCGACCTTGATGTTTATGTAAGGCAGGGGTGTCCAAACTCGGTCCAGGAGGGCCAGTGTCCTGCAGAGTTTAGCTCCAGCTTGCCTCAACACACCTGCCTGGAAGTTTCTAGTACTGGTTCAGGTGTGTTTAGTCGGGGTTGGAGCTAAAAGCTGCAGGACAGTGGCCCTCCAAGAGCTGGACTGGACACCTCTGAAATAAGGGATACATTTAGGATTATATATATATTTATACTGTATATGCAAGTATGTATGTGTGTATGTGTGTGTTTGCTATAGCTGGGAGGGGAAGGAAAGGAAAGCTTGTTTAATTTAAAAATCAAAACAAATCAAAAGGGTTTGTTTTGAAATTACAACCAGCTAACTGTACATCATCTCACTTATAACATGTTTAGTTACAAAATATTGATTTACATCGAATTTACGGTAATATGTGATTAGAAATCACAGACTAATGTAATGTTTATATTTTGAAAATTACCATTTGACTGCTCATCACATTTAATACAAAAATAGTTACAACTAATAAATAAATGTCTTATTTATTACAGTTTAAATTTAATTCAAGGAAAGATTACTTTTATATGATCCAAGTCATATGTGTGAAGTATCAGTAATTCAAAAGGAATTAGTGAAAAATAATGCGTGTTGTGGTCACATTATCTTTGGTAATTACCAATCACAGTCCAGAATCAATGATTACATTTACGCTATGGCTGCCACAAAAAAAAAATATATATACAGGTGCGTCTCAATAAATTAGAATGTCGTGGAAAAGTTCATTTATTTCATTCCAAGTAATTTTCATGTTTCTGACATTACACACTAAAAAAATGCTGCAGGTAAAAAAACAGACAGTTTCTGACAGTAACATAATGTTTTCCGTGAAAGCATTAATATACTATAAAAAACAATCTGGGCAATATTTGCCATTTCTTACAAAGTAGACTGCTGCAATTTACACACGGTAAAACTGTGATGTAAAAAACGGCCAAATTCTAACAGAGTTCACTAATATAGTCCACCTGACAGAGAGAATCCAGACACTGATAAACACCTGCTGATAACAAGCAGAATCACTGAACAAACGAGAAACAACAATAACAGAGAAAAAGAGACTATGAATGAAAATAAAAGACATTAAATCTCTCAAGATCTCAGCAGCATTACTAGCTTCACTTATTACTGACCAGTTTGACTCTGTTCCTGTCATACGTGTAAAGAAGTTCTCATTGAGAATTATCAGAGGTTATTGTTGACGTTTTATTGAAGATAATGGATTCATTTAAAGTCACCATTATCGAGAACAGTGTTTGCTTTTGTTGGGCTCTTGATCCTTGACTTTTCAACATCACTTTGTCTTTGGCTGATTGTGTGTTTTTAAAGAACGTTTGTCAAACAAAAAAGCCAAGACAAAATGCAGTCAGGTGATGTTGGTTATCGAGTGTCCAGACTCACTTATTTCATCCAGAATTTAGTTTATATGATGTCTTGTTACATTTATGTTTTTGATAGACGTGTGGTTTTGCAGCATGAGATCCAACAACATTGCTGTAGTCATTTGTTATGAAGGATTCTAAAAACACATTGTGCACATAACATTTTGAGCTACTCTAACATTCAGATACACACAGACATCAAGAATCAACATATGAACCTCAACAATGGTGACATTAAAGGTTTCGTGTCGCAATGCATGCTGGGTACCAGCACAGGACAAAACTCACCCATGACTCCCAGCATGCATTGCAGCATGAATAGTGTTATCACCATCGTTGAGGTTCATATGCTGATTCTTCATGTCTGTGTGTGTTTGGCTGACACCTTGTTTTGAATTTTTTTGTGAAAAGAGTGTTGGAGAACCTCATAATTGACAGCGGTGGTATCACTATTGTGGTAATGTGAAGTTAAAGTGCATTAACAACGTAATACTCTCAATAAGAGGTTAGACACTGGAAGAGGTCCATAAATCAGGCTGCTACACAATGATTAAATCATCATCAATAAGTAACTCACATCACAATGAGATTTTTTTGGCTTTTTGTTTTTGCTATAGCAAACGTGTCTTACACGTTACAGCAGCCTAAAAAACTAATACTAAGAAATCTAAGGTCAGTAGCCCAACCAAACTAAAGACTGTTCACCATAATGGTAACCAAACATTTTCAATAAAACATCAACATCTAAATCTCTCACTAAGAGCTTCTGTAGACGTCTGACAGAAATAAAGTCAGTCCGGGGTGTTTCCTAGAGTCAACTATGGTCACAAGTTCTGTTGTTGCCAATGGAGTTCAGTGGAACTTTGCTAACGATGCTTTTGGGAAACGCACCCCTGGTTAGTAATGCGTGAAGCTGGTAATGCTGTTTGTGGAGTTGTTTTCTGAGTCCTCTGCTGAGATCTTGAGAGATTTTCTTTCAGTGATTCTGCTTGTTAACTGCAGGTGTTCACTAATGCTTAGTAATTAATTAATCACTTGATTATCTCATTAATGGCAACACTGCTTCAGTGTTACTTTTACTCTCTGTAGTGTGTCAAATGCTATTTTGTGTGTTTTTGCACATAGTGATATGGGGAAGGTCTTTTAGAGTTTAATGTTCTGTTCTGCTGGGATTTAAAGGGTTTCTGTTTGTCTGAGTTTTGTGCGTTACCATTGTGCTGAAGAGTAGAGTTTGTGTTTAAGTCAAAGGTGAGCAGAGAAACACTGATATTCTGCTGCATGTTGCTTTATTTAAAGACAGTAACTGTGGTGTTAATTCTAAAAGATCTGAGTTTTAAAAAATATGTTTCTAGTTTCAATGGTTTTGCTTAGTTAAGTACATTTTAAGAATATTCTTATTTATTGGACTCGCATGTAAAAAGTTTTACAAATATTAGTTTATAAACATAAGTGGCAGTTGGCCAAGTTAAGGCAGTTGGTTTCTGCAAATGAAATGAAGAAATAACATTTTATTTGAATGCATTACAGTAACATTCTGTAAAGAAGGTAAAATTAACAGTAAACTACAAGCAAATGTCCTGCCAGCATTTTACGATATATTTACGAGAATTTTTAATATGCCGTAATTCTAAATACAGTAAAAAGCTATAAATAAACAGTACCTTGTAGGTGAAGCTGGTACCAGTTAATTACTGCAAATTTACACAGAAAAGTTCTACAGTGCAGTGAATTTACTGCGCTCAATGTGTCTGAAATTGCCCTTCTTATCGCCATTTTTCTATTCCATAAATTAGTTACTATACAGTAGTTACAATAGTCCACTCGACATGAGTGAATTCAGACACTGAGTTGAAGTCAATTGCAAATAAAAGACATTAAATCTCTCAAGAACTCAGCAGAGGATGATTAAATATCTCCACAAACAGCATTACCAGCTTCACTTATAACCAAAATTGTGCATTGCTTACACATATAATGTGAAAGAGGTGTTAGATGTTGTTTCAATGAAAATAATTGTTTCATTTACGGTAACATACTGTAGATTACAGTAAAGAATTGTATATTTACTGTTATACCAATGTGTATTCACATGCGTTACCTTCACTCAAATACTTTGTGTAGCAAAAACATAACTCAATTGAGTTAAACCAAGGCAATATTTGTTTACAGTGTGTGGAAACTGATTGCCTTGAATTTCTCAAACATGTTTTACTCAACTAATTTGTGTTTGACCAACATGCATTTTCACCATGCACCCCTATAATAATACCAACACAGTTTTCCTCATAAACAAAACTTAAATACTTTGTGTAGCAGAAGCATAACTTACATTAGATTTAATGTCTCAGTAAAACCTTTTAATCTAAGGTGCGGAAGTCAGTTGTAACTGTTGTTTCTCTTTTTTTTAATTCTTGTTGTTTCTCTAGTTAATGTCTTTCATTTTTATACTTGTGTTCATTAGATGCTGTCCGAAAGAATGTCTTTTCATCGACGGCAACAAACAGTGAAATTGAAAACGTGATGAAAAGGTGGCTGCACCTGGCCTCAGACCGGGATGGAGGAAGGAAGAGGCGCCAAAAGGACTAGTCTACATGCTAAATTGATTTCAGCTGTTAGGTTATGTTATTGGGATTAGCCAAGTAGGTTGGGTTACAAGATTTAAAATGGGGTCAGATTTTACTGTGTGAGATTTGTAGGTGTTAAAAGGTGACATAAAAGAGAGATACGTTTCAATAAGAATAGTGTATTTACAATATTCACATGAGACTTTAAAAATACTAACAAAACTACAGCAGTAACCAGTCTGTGTCGGCTGAATATATTTAGCAGCTTGCAGTTAGAGATAAAACTTAAATTATGTAGTTATTAAATTAAATCAAAAAAATATTGAATGCATTATTTAATTGTTATACCATTAATATTTCACTTATTTAATTTGTATTTAACTAAATAGCCTAATTCGGCATTATAGGCTGTTGTCTGGGCTTATTTATTTATTTTTCTTAAATGACAAGTGACTTTGTGGCTTCCTGCACTTGCTAGACTTTATACTTCAGTGCGGTAAAGTACTAAAATTTGTTATAATATTAATTTGATAATAAATCCAAAAGCAAGACGTGAAAAAACGAGGGAGTTGAAATGGCAGCTGCAGCCAATGATTGATCTTCTGCTGCCATCTCCTGGTTATAATGGTAATTTCATGTCATTTTCATCTTAAAAAGTCTTTATATTTCTTTATTTTTTGGCACATTTATTCATGTCGTCTTCATGAATGAAAAGTTAACCTTTAAAATGAATTTTACTGCCCAGCTGTAGAGTTGAGAAATAATAAAGGCTTTAAAATATTATTTTAAAAATGTGTTCATGGCTATTAAGGTAAGATATTAATTATCAAGAATACCATTATGATGTTGTAAGCCTAACCGTTAGCCTAAACAGTTACGATAGTGTTTATTTGTCAGCATTTAAATGTACAGTTACGTGTCTGTACTCTCCTGGGATTACCAGGCTCGGCATATACAATATACAGTATGTTGTTAAATAACAGGAAACTGTATGTTAATGCCGCTATCATTATTTACGGTGTTGCAATTATTTTGTTTCTCAGTTTCTGATAAGAATGAGGCAGGAGAGGTTTCTGTGAGAGTCTCTACCTATATTTAGCACATATGTGACCCTGTCTGTGAAATCCAGGCTAAAGTCTCGAAATCTAATTATGAGATAACCAGCATCAAAGTTGGATTTCAAGCATTAATTTCACTATGATTTCAATCTTTGACATGGCCTTACTCAGTCAATATTAAAGATATAAAGGTTATATTTTCACAGAATGTTCTACATCTTTATGAAGGATGATTTTATGTAGAGAAAAAATGACTTTAACTGGGTTTTCACAGGCGGTGTCACATATAAAATGAGCTTCACCGGAAGTTTACGAGCTGCTTATCTTTATGAGGAAGTTCTAAAGAACGCTCCGTGCATATGGTCAGTTCTCCCGGTGCTCCCGATGGCCCGTCCGGGCCGGTTCTCCAGTTTTAAAACAATGTTTTAAGAGAAAGTAATTCAGCGCAAAGCTGTTTACAACCACACTGGTGTGAAATCTTCATCATTGAAATGAGCAGGTGTTTATGAGTCATCATACTTGAACACTTTCTCAACACAGCTTTTAAAATCGTAAACGTTCCTCGTAGGGGCCACCATATGTAACTATCAGCCAAGTAGTTTGGGTTACAAGATTTAAAATGGGGCCTGAGTTTTCCTGGTTTTATTGTGTTGTTTTAAAGTCTCATGTGGATGTTGTAAATGCACTATTCTTATTGAAATCTATCTCTCTTTTATGTCATTCTTTTAACAGCCACAAATCTCACACAGTAAAATCTGACCCCATTTTAAATCTTGTAACCGATCGTTACAATGTTGTGATGCATTCTTTAAAAGATCATTTCCAGTGTAATTCTAATGCAGTTGCAATATTTCCTATTGATAGTTTAAACTGTTAGTCTTTGTATTAAAAATATGTGAAAAAATAAAAATCGTTCATTTAAACTGCTTTATAATTAAACTGTTAGTCGTTTTTATTAAAAATGTGTGAAAAAATTAAAATCGTTAATTTAAACTGCTTTATTGTTTTAATTTGAGTATGATAGCATGTATATGCCATCAGCTGTGGCATGATGCCATACACACAAGTTTCTCAAAATGTACTCAAATCAATGGCTGTGGCCCACTTTTAATAATAATCTCTGGGCCAAATCTGGGCCACACTCATCTTTCTAAGAGCATGGTATATGGGCCAGATCTGGGTCGAGGACCCAGGTGTATACTGGGCCAGAACTCAAGGAATAATGTGGGCCACAAGTGTGCCAGACAAATTTTGCTATCTGGGTTGAGGTAAGCAGTTTTATGTTTTAGCGCCATGTCACATTTTTATTGGCCTGTCAGTAGATGTGGGTCGTAGCAGCAAACACACTGTGCGATGATCATGCTGAATTTCTGACACTCAGAAAATTATCGTAGGCTATCTTTGGTCGCAAGACCGTGACGACAGCCGTCTTTGAACCTCTCTCGCTGTGCGACATAAGAGCACCGATTAGGAGCCACGATCACAGAAATCGCCACCATTGTTTCACGATACCAATCTTTCGTCTGGGACAGCTGAAAATCATGCTGTGTGTCTCGGGCTTTACTGAACCTAAATGATTATTTCAGTCTTAAAGAGCAGGTCATATGGTATTTCAGAGTGTCCTAATATTGTTAGATGCATTTAAACCTGTTGTAGAGGACTCCAAGGCCAGAAAACATTAATATTAAATGTATATTCTGAGAAAATTACAGAGTCATTTGCCAATGATTTCGAAACGATTAGTTCCAAGCAAGTTCGGAGCAAACCGCTCCCTTCCATTTGCCTACTCTGCTCTGATTGGTCAGCTGGCCAAGCCTGCTGTGATTGGCACAGAGAGGAGTCCTTGAGCCAGTTAGCGAGTGCTACCATTGACAAAGCACCTTTGCATAAAACAATAATATAGTGCTCCAATCCGTTCTAACTCACTTGTCTCTCCCGCATTAACCCTATAACTGCCGTGCAGCAAAATAAACAGCAATTTCACTATGATTATAAAGTCTGTGTGCTACACTACATTCTTTATATGGATATTTTGAGCACTCAATTGAAAATGTGAACATAACGTATCAAGCATACTTACAGGTTGTGGTTCAGAGTGCTTGTTAGTCCAAATTAAGAAGATTAGAAGCCAACGAAGATAAAAGCCAAGATTAAAGAAGTCCTCCGTAAAATGATGAGCACACAACAAAAGGTTCAAATTGTATTTCTGTGGTATCCCTGAACACAGCGTCTTCTCAACATGATGTAAACACACTAACTAGCGGAAGTGTTTGTGGGCAGGTCAGACTCGCAGGCAGGCGGGGATTATGCAAATGTATTACCCAGTGACATATACCGGTAACAGGCAAAAGATTTGAAAATATGATGACTCGTTAAGACAATGGCTGCGTATTCATAAAAGAGTAGGCGAGTATTCATGAAAGTATTCATAAAAGAGTAGGCGAGAATAGTAGGCGAGTGCACTAATTCTCGCGAGATTCGGACGTACATATACTTAAATTGCGTTCGAATATGCCTACTTACCTACTATATAGTAGGAGAAAAGAGTATGTGAAGAAAGTAGTATGTCCGAAACCTCAGTATTCATAAAAGAGTAGGCGAGAAATCCCCGGATGTCCTACTGCTTCAGCCCAGATTCTGAAGTGCTCATCGATGAAGCTCATCTGAAGTGCTTTTCTATTCCAGAAGCCCACGGGAGAGGATACATCATCATCGAACGTGATGGAGAACAGCGACTGTGAACAAATGCGGGTGTTTACAAATGTGAGTATTAGAAATCAAATACACGGTTCCCTGTGTTAAAATCGTATTTGTTAAGCTACTGTAGAGTAAAAAAAAAAACAGACTGTAGTATAGACTTACTACTGTAGAGTAAATAAAAATTTTAAAAAGATGGCGGCGCGTGTACACGCAGCGGCTCAGCACTCCACGTATCGACTCCTCTTGTATAGTCTATTGATAGTTTATGTTTCACTGAGTGTCACGCATTCACAGAAATATGTAAAATACAGTCGGCACGAATTGATCATCATCGGTCTGATGCCTGGGGACTGTATTTTTAACCAGGAAGATCCTATACACGACATACCGTCAGAGCTTGTTAGACCGCCTGGGTCCCCGTGGATTACTCTCCCAGCCGGGAAGCAACGAAGGCACAGTCGATATCTTAATCAAAAAAGAAATAGAGTCAAACTTCATGATCGGCCCTTTCAATGTTCCCCCCTTCCATTGTTTTCGCGTCAGCCCGATCGACGTCGCCATCCAGAAATTTTCAGGTAAAAAACGTCTGATAATCGATCTCTCATCCCCACACAACTCCCCGTTCCCAAGCATTAACAGCCTCATTCCGCTCGAAGAATTTTCTCTCCACTACCACGACATTGACCAAGCCATAACCCTGATTAAAGACGCAGGTCGCGGCGCGTGGCTGGCCAAAGTCGACATCACCTCTGCCTTTAAAGTAATGCCCATCCATCCAGATTTTTGGCGTTTATTTCTATTCTCCAGGCCGTCTCCCCCAGGACCCTCCAATCCTACTTAACCACTTGGAACAGTTTAAAAAATGTTCACTATGCTTACAACTTGCCTTTCCCCGATTTTTCCCTGCTCACCATCACCTCGTTCATCTCTCATCTCAACGCCAACAAAAACCTCCAAGCTAGCGCCATCAAACGCTACCTAAGTGAATTCAATTTTTCCACAAGCTCATGTTCGGCTCACCCTCCCCAGAAATAGCCAGCTCACAGACATCTATGCTCATCAAAGGCATCCAAAGAGCCCAACCCTCCCGTCCAGACGCTAGACAGCCAATAACTTTAGAGATCTTAACCAAATGCATTTCTACCCTCTGCAGAGGCTACCATTCTATGCACACTTATTCTATGCTCTTATTTCATCAAGCAAAGCAAGACAGACCAATCGAGAAGAGGCCACTTCATTTACATCTTCAATCTCCAGTCACCAATCCAACCATACCAAACCCTCCTAGCCTACCTGCATTACAGAAGCCCGCAGGCTAAACTCCCGTCTGACCCGCTTTTCGTCGACGACTCTAATCGCCGCACCACTCGTTT